GTGTACATGGGCTGCTCTAATTGCTTACCATCGGGTGATCCGTCTGCTCGTTTACCGGCTTATATCATAAAAAATATTCCAAACAGAATTAATAAAGGTTTCAGAAAATCAATACTATAATGTCCTAACCAACTCAGGCAATCTCTCGACAAGAAGAATAAGAAGATAACTATAAAATGTTATAACTAAAATCTGCATACAGTGAAGGTTACAGTGTTTTAACAAGAATGCCATTTCGCCAACAAACTACTGAAGCTTTTATTTTGTTTAAAAATGCAACGTGTGGTTGTATTTGAATAAACATATACAGTACATAAATCATCTTCCCACTGTAAAGGTCACTCATGTTCTCCACTATGTAAAGGTCAACTCAAATGAAAAAAAAACCAGAATATATTTTTGAAAAAGTGTTGTCCCAAACCAGAATTTTTTACTGAGTGTCATAGGTATATTTACAAGCCAAACAAAAGAAATACATACAAATGAAAGCGGTAAGGCGATTTCAAGCATACTTTCAAATTACAATCCTAAGTTTCTATAAATATAATATTTTTCTACTTATGTTAATGGTAACATAACATCATCACGCCTTTTATCCCCGAAGGGGTAGGCAGAGGTGCACACAGAAGTAACACCCACTTTTCACTATTTATATTATGAGTCCCATGTAATAGGGGGTGAGCCTATTGCCATATACCGAGCACAATTCCAGACTCCGTGCTACTACTGAGATTTTTTTAAAAACCAGTAATACTTTGCCCGACCCGGGAATCGAACCTGAGATCCCTTGCCCGGCAGTCACTTTTGCGACCACTCGGCCAACGAGGCAGTCTTAATGGTGTCCAAAATAAATTACTTAAAACTAGAAATTTTCAGACTGCGGATTATGACTTGATACCAAGACAAGTGAATGAAACTGCTAGTTTAAATTGGAATAGACAAATATTTTTTGTGGATCATTTTGTCACGGTCTAAGGAGCATTAGTCTACAATTGCCAATATAGACTCAAGGCTGTTGTCAGACAAAAGATTTTAAAATGGAGAATGTAAAAGCTAAAGTTAGAATTAGAAATGCATTTATTTTGTGCAACGGAATTCTATAAATTAATTGCAGTGACTATGCAGTATTTTGATCGATATTTGATTTGCAATATAATGTGCTTTATTGTACCTCTTTTTCTAAATATACATTAACCTATTTTTTGGACTTGCAGTTTTCAAATCTATATTGTTCGAATTAAAAAAATCCATAATCGTGTATAACTGAGTAAAAGGGTTTCAGTTATCATTATCAATTCTTTTTCATTGAAATTTGAATGGCCTTTGACCTTTTACTGAATTCCATTTTAATTTTTAAATTTATTAATTTGAAATATAAAAATAATACCAATTTATAAATTACTGTCATCACTCAGCGTTCATAGTACCTAAGTACATACATACCTAAATCCTTACTAATATTATAAATCTGAAAGTGAGTTTGTTTGTTCCACCTTCACGCCGTAACTACTCAACCGATTGCTTTGAATTTTTGCAGACGTAAAGTTAGAAGTCCGGATTAAATAATAGGGTACTTTTTAACCCGGAAAAAATTGATATTCCCGAGGAAAAACAAAAGTATTGGTATAGATGGCGCTGTGTGTATTGGTATATATCACATAGGCTACTTTTTATTCTTTTGTGACGCGAGCGAAGCCGCGGGTAAAAGCTAGTATACAAATAAAAAACCACTTAGGTACCTAGTTACTGGGTAATTTTATTTCGATTAACAATTAAGTATGTACCGATAAAAAACCGGTTTATGACTAAGAGATATTACTACATCGGATGATGTTACGTCAGTTATATAAAAAAACTTAAATTGTGCGCATGTACAACTTTCTCTCGACTCAGGAGATGTGCACATTCACGTTTGTGCCACATGAATATAAATTGTGGGCAGGTAGTAGTATCAGTTGTAGTAAAAGCAAATTTTATACAGTATAGTATGGTAAACGAGTAGACGAATCACCTGATGGTAAGCAATCGGCGTCGCCCATGGACATTCATGACAATAGAGAAGTTACAAGTGCGTTCTCGGCTTTTGGGGGTTAGGGGTTCGAGAATATGAGGTTTGGGCATCTCCAATATTTTAGCGGAAATTACCGCGTGCAATGGTATAACCCACAGAAATATTAAAATAACCACTTGTAGTATCACACCGAAAATCCCCAAAAATTTGTTTATACAAAAGTAGTCTGTAGACATCGGAAATAAGGTCTATTATGCAGTGAGTGAAGAGCAGGCACCGGTGACCGTTTGGGAAAAAACAAGGTCTCAGTTTGACCTGTACATATAGTGAACTCATCTAATTCTGTGACTCGCCTAATAATTCGGTATAGTAAATTTGGTAGAACTCTTAGGTTTCTAGAAAAAAATCTGATTATTTGTGCTAATATTCCTCATAAAAGACTGATTAAAACTCATGCGGAGACTGAATTAAATTAATTAATAATTTATTGGTATTTTATTACTCAAATGCCTTTGTCACGAAGTTAGACGAGATCACCCTACATACATATGTACATTATGTATATATATGTACGTATGTTCGTGCGCGATTATCTTGGGATAGACGGAACCGATTTCGATGCGGTTTTCAGAAAAGTCTTTGTTACAATTAGGAAAAGGCTTTAGTATATTATTTAACAGACTCCAAAAAAGAGAGGGTTAAAGTCGATATTTTAAACGTAGATTATGAAAGATTTATTAGCAGTATATAAAATATAGGTACTGCTGAATAAAAACCTTTCTTTAAAGGGCGTTTGCCATAATCCTCACCCTTAGCAGGTGGTTGATAGATCTCGTCATTGCCAAGAAACACAATGTGTTACGGTAAAATGGGGAGAATAAGGATCGAGAGGTGAATAGGGACAGAAGAGGGGTGAATAGAAAGATAAGGAAATTCTTCATAGTATCGATTCATCCCTCTTCTCTCCCTTTCGCCGTTCAAACCCTATTCACCCCGTTTTACCGTATTGGCTGCAATTTTAGAACATGTCATCATAGAGTTTTTGTTCCTTCCTCACCTCAGAAGACCTCAATAATTTATAGTACTTTGACAGCCACGTCAATCGAAGCAGAGATCACAGACCAACAGTTGCATTTACTATCACTCGACCAACGAGCCAGTTAGTTTAATCAGCCACGTTGTTTCTTGTTTCCATATGGAATTTAGTAATAATAATAATATAATTAGGATCTAGTACTCAAAGTCAGACTGCCTCGTTGGCCGAGTGGTACGACTGCCGGGCAAGGGGTCTCGGGTTCGATTCCCAGGTCGGCCAAAGTATTACTGGGTTTTAAAAAATTTCAGTAGTAGCACGGAGTCTGGAAATGTGCCCGGTATGTGGCAATAGGCTCACCCCCTATTACATGGGACTCATAACATAAATAGTGAAAAGTGGGTATTACATTGGACAGTGGCATTAAGTGCCGAAATGTGCACCTCTGCCTACCCCTTCTGGGATAAAAAGGCGTGATGTTATGTTATTCAAAATCAAAGCCAAAGTCAAAATCATTTACTTCAATTTAACCAAAAGACACTTTTGAACGTCAAGAAAAAAATTAAAAGTGAAGCTAATTGCTCATTCCAAGGTGTACATTCCTATGGAGAAGAACGAGCAAGAAACTCCATATATTATAGAGATGGAAACAGAAACAGTGCTACCTAGTGATAATGAGCATCATAATTATGCCTACCAACACAAATTGTTCGGATGACGTATTTACATAAAATTGAGAGAGGTAATCAATATTCTAGTGACTCTGGTCACGACTTGTAGCTATGTACAATGATGGGCACATCCGCCTGACCACTACTAAGTTAATATTTGCTTGCACCCATGAGATCTGCTAAAAAATCTCTAACACTGGTGCAGGTAGCCGAACAACACCAAATGCATCAAACAACATCAAACGCACCACTGACTGAGGGATGACATGGTCTGCGTCACTAAGCTGCAAAGTTATCGCTTTTCTATTAGTTGAGACCCCTGTCTGACTGGCTTCATGTTTTTGCTAAGTTCAAGCAATAAAATTTTAAAATGATCACGCGGATCTGTCCCCGATTGTACGTACATAGTGACTTCATGGTCCGTAGACGGTGAAAAGTGAAAAGGAGTGTTTAGCAGTTTTTGTCCAACTTTCATGTATTGTACTAAAAGTAATTGCATAGTTAATATTAAATATGTATTTATTTATACTTGGTCTTTTTATTTTAAAAAGTTTTAAATAAAATTTTATTAAATGTGTCTTATTTTTTATGTTTGTACCTATTGTGTCAAGTTTTTATTACGTCACAATATTTATTTTTAATTTTTACAATATTTATTTGAAATTACGCGGTAAACACCGTTTTAGTATATTAGCGTTCTATAATAATTTATTTATGTTTTTTCCTACGTATGAGATACTACTTTTTGTATCAATGCCAAAATTTATATTTAGTCATTTGGCATGGCTCTCATAGTTACTTTCGCGTCACACGGACACGTTTTAGAAATGATCTAATTTTTCTTTATTTCCATCTACAAGAAATATATCATTATTAAAACCATGACTTAATTAAACGTTTCATTACAAAATCACTATAATAAGTTAAACATAGACCAACCACTAACAATGCTGTTTTATAAACAGTTAAACAAATAACTATACAAGTTCAAGTATGGTCAAAATTACAAAATTCTGCATTGCAATTACAAAACCAGTTATCAATTTTAATTAAACCTTATGCAAGAAGTGATAAGGTTAAAATTCATAAGTATATTTCACGTCCATTTGTGTTTACAGATTAGAGGTAGACTGTAGTGGGCAAAACGTAGATTGTTCGTGCAGTCTTATTTAAACATCGAATAGTGAATGTCGTCGCGAAAAAAAAACGACATTTTATTTTAAATCAAACTTTTTTTTTAGTTTTTTTTGTGTATTTTTTTTTGTTTTCTTTTTTTAATTTATCAATGTTTGCGTTATACAGTTATTTGTTGTGTTTGTGTTTGTGGACGGCCAATTCAAATGTTTTGCGAGGGAATGACTTGTATCAGTTGGATATAGTGCATTATAATGATTTTCATGACAGGTGAGAGGTTTTTTTTTAATTTTAGCATAATCTTTAGTTTATTCGTCAAAATCATGCGCCCATACAAATATAAAATGTGAAAGTGTTATTCGCATTTTGCGATAAGTGCATCGGCGAATTCGCGTTATTTTAATGTAGATATAGTTGAAGGGATTAATAGCCAGTACCTTTTATATATTTCGACCTACGCACTTCATAATTTTTTCATCAAAACATCACGCTGTGACCAATAGGAGCGACCGCGTGAAGCCGCGTGGAAGTAGCTAGTTAGATAGTAAAATTAAACCACTTAACAGACTATTCGTGTGTATTTAATTATAGCTTCTATCAGGAAACAAACCCATGTGTTATTCCCGATTTCAATCTATCATCATCATCTGCTGCTGAACATAGGCCTTCCCCAATGACTTCCAGATAGGCCGCTTGAAAGTTACCTATTTCAATCTATATCTGTGTCAAACTTCGTTCAGATCTGTTCAGCAGTTTTTGTGTAAAACAGTCATAAACACACATACATTCCGACAAATTTTCCTTTTATAATATTTCTAGAATTACACGCGCTTGATTAATTTAAATGAAGTATTAAATATAATTGGCTTTTACATATTTACAGTAATTACAAAAGGTTAATTTTGCAGAGGAAAAATTAATGAGGAAAATTGCGCGCTTGCTAAATCGGTTTTGTATTAATAACATATACAATAGCTTACTCATACGATTACATATATATGTATTGTGGCATTTTTTTTTTTTTTAAGGGCCGAAAATCATCGAATGCCTGATGTATTGTGGCATATATGTTAAAATATCTTTAATTTATTAATAGTGTGGACGTTACATTATCATTTATTTTACAGTAAGTACTTTGCTTTCTTTACTAAAAATATTTGTTACTTATTTAAATTTTATCACTACATAGTATAAATAAAGTCGCTATCCGCCGTCTGTCTGTCCCTATGTATGCTTAGATCTTTAAAACTACGCAACGAATTTTGATGCGGTTATTTTAAATAGATAGAGTGATTCTTAAGGAAAGTTTATATGTATAATACATGCATATTGCACTCGTGCGAAGCCGAGGCGGGTCGCAAGTAAATAACATATGACATAAAACGCTACTCGTTAATACCTATATTCTAAGAAAAAAATCCATATATTTAAATTACCTAAAATTTATTTATTTTATTTATTTAAAGAACTACACACGAAATAAATAAATAATACACATTATTTTAAAACCTTTTCTTCTTTACATATTAAAAAAAAACCATATTATGTTTAATTTAAAACATTATTTTATTTATTTAAAGAATCACACACGAAATAAATAAACTGTTTTATAAACCAGGAATTTGTAGTGAAAGGTCGAGGCGCCATCTTGCTCAAAATTACAATCTAAAAATAATAGTATTTCATTCAGTGAACTACACTACTGTGGCCTTAGTCATGTGACATTAGGTTCGGGGATGCCGCAATATCGGCCTTGAACGCTGTAGTTCACGTGGGAAATAGTTCGTATGAATTATTGTTTGATGTTTTGTCGATTCAATTGTGTCTTTTATGTGTTTTTCGTTGACTGCCTCATTGGCCGAGTAGTCGCAAGTGCGACTACCGTGTAAGGGTTTTCGGATTCGATATCCAGGTCGGGCAAAGTACTACTGGGTTTTAAAAAAAATCTTAGTGGTAACACTGGAATTGTGGTCGTTAAATGGCAATACGCTCACCCCCTATTGGCCTATTACAAGGGACACATAACAAAAATAGTGAAAAGTGGGTCTGTCATTGTACAATGGCATAATGTGCACCTCTGCCTACCCCTTCGGAAATAAAAGGCGTGTTCGACACTGGTAGATTTGGTACTTGGTACCCACTTATGATTATTTAATGCTACCATTAATAGTCAATATTAAATTAATTAATAAACAATTACCGCTTATATTAGTATAGAGGTATTTAATTAGGTACTTATTAAAAATAAATGACTACGTAGCCACGACCTCATACTTTGACTGCGGGCGACTGACCGGGGGAGTCAGACGTCTGCTATATAGGCGGGAGTAGGCGGTAGCGTAGTGTTCCACGCGCGCTACTCGAAGAAGGGAAGCAGCCTGCTAGGGCCGCTAAGGTGGCGGGACCTGCCGCAAACATAGCGGTAGGTCGAGGCCTGCTGGGTGTGGTGATTCCGTAAGGGCAACCCGGGTCACGATCACAGGCAGTGAAGGAACACCGCGGTGGTTTTAGCCGGTAAAAGTCCGGCACGCCCCCTCGTCGTCCCCACGACGCGGGAAGTCCATGAGAATTTCCATCGCGACAGGAAAAAAAAATACTTCACGGATTTTTTGTTTTATTTCCAAGTTGTTTACATATTACTTTAAATTTAAAAAACCTAAAAATTCATACGAAATCTGTAGGTAGTAACTAAGATTATTAAATAATACCTCTAGAGACAACAAATATTCTATTTATTCAAAAATCAAAAAACTATGTTTCGCTCTTGTTGAAATGACGTATTTTATTATTTTTACTACAAAGTTAAACAAAATAATTTAAGATAATTTTTTCCTATACAAATACATTTATTCAAAGGCTTTTAAAGTAAAATTATGTGCAGGTATAAAGTAATAGTTACTGTAATGTACAATTTATACATATTCACTACATACCTCTAGTATAAAACTAATTCGCCATCTGCCGTCTGTCTGTCCCTATGTAAGCTTATATCTTTAAAAGTAGCCGCCGGATTTTGATGCGGTTTTTTTAATACATAGAGTGATTCTTAAGGAGGGTTTATATGTATAATACATGTATATTGCACACGTGCTAAGCCGGGGTGGGTCGCTAGTTTGTTTATAAATGCATCTCTAAAATATAATACATACATACATACATCAACAGCCTATAAATGCCCACTGCTGAGCAAAGCCTCTTCTCACACAGAGAAGGTTAGAGCATTAATCACCACGCTTGCTCAATGCGGGTTGGCGATTTCAAACTTATAATTAGAAATTATAAGTCTAGGTTTCCTCACGATGTTTTTCCTTCACCGTTTGTCAGTGGTGTCTAAATAATCTTAGAAAGTACATATAACTCGGAAAAAGTCACATTGGTACTTGCCGTTGGTAGTTTTCGAACCCGCACCCTCATGCATGAGAAGTGGGCGTCTTAAACCTCCGGGCCACCACGACATAAAATATAATGGCACGTACAAATTACTAATGCTAAAGAGCTTATGAGGATGAGAATTTGAAGCCCTAATTTGAAATTTTCGGTTAAAACTGTTTGTATTTTCGAATTTAGACCAATACATTAGTAATAAACAGTTATTGTTGGAGGAATTTAAAATTGTATTAAGGTAATAAATAGAGGTATATAGCTTGATCGACGGAATTGGATCTCTGTAAACTCAATCTGACTCTCACGGTGGCACATAATGCATGCGTGATTTCACGCTGGTTTCTTAAAAGGCTGTTGTATCACTCCGGTCGAGCTGCACATTCGTACCAAAATCTGGCTCTTCTAGGCCTCATCATCATCATCAACAGCCTATAAATGCCCACTGCTGAGCAAAGCATCTTCTTACACTGAGAAGGTTTGAGCATTAATCACCACGCTTGCTCATTGCGGGTTGGCAATTTCAAACTTATAATTAGAAATTAAGATCAGGTTTTCTCACGATGTTTTCCTTCACCGTTTGTCAGTGGTGTCTTAATAATCTTAGAAAGTACATATAACTCGGAAAAAGTCACATTGGTACTTGCCGTTGGTAGGTTTCGAACCCGTAGTCTCATACATGAGAAGCGGGCGTCATACATATAAGAAAATACTAAACTTATAATCATTAATTAACTTACCAAATATTACTTATTAAGTAAGGCCTCTACCTACCTATTTTTGTAATGAAGTGACGTGTCCTCATACGACTATGGCACCAATTAAAATATACTTAAGGTAAATAATTACTTGATTGCAGTAAAAATGGCCGCTTATTACAGTCGACCTTCACTCATTGCAGGTACCTGCAGTGTTTGTGTTATTGTCACAGAGTATGTAATACATGAAGGTTTAAGGTAAGGTCAAAATGAGCTCACGTGCACAAAATATAAACCACGCATGTTAACATCCTTAAATAGTATCTTTATTTTTATTTAAAAAAATTCAGTATTTGTAGTTCCATAAGACTAGAAGTGTCGTGGTGGCCCGGAGTTTAAGACCCCCGCTTCTTATGCGGGTTAGCCCGCTTCTTATAAGGGTTCGAAACCTACTGACGACGGCAAGTACCAATGTGACTTTTCCCGAGTTATATGTACTTTCTAAGATTATCTAGACACCACTGACAAACGGCGAAGGAAAAAATTGTGAAGGAACCTAAGCTTATAATTTCTAATTATAAGTTTGAAATTGCCAACCCGCAATGAGCAAGCGTGGTAATTAATGCTCAAACCTTCTCCGTGTGAGAAGAGGCTTTTGGTCAGCAGTGGCCATTTATAGGCTGTTGATGATCATGATGAAATTGTTATGAAGATGTACGTAATATTTGGCCATAACCTAAAAATTAAAACATAGACCTCCCACTTAGCAACTAAGGCGTAAAAACGACCAACAGAAACACTAGCAAATCTTAATTATAGTATCTAGATACTTTGTAAGCGAAAAATATAATAACATTAGGTGATGCCCGCGACTTCGCCCGTATAGAATATGATTCCTGTTTTTTTTATGGCATAAGCCGGTAAACTAGCAGGCGGATCACCTGATGGTAAGCAATCGACGTCGCCCATGGACACCTGGAACACCAGAGGCGTTACAAGTGCGTTACCGGCCTTTCGGGGATTAGGAGTTTGAGGATTGATCGTTGGGGATTCAGGAATTTGGGAGATTGGAGAAGGGGAGGGTAATTAGGCCTCCGGTAACCTCACTCACACGACGAAACACACCGCAAGCGTTGCTTCACGTCGGTTTTCTGTGAGGCCGTGGTATCAGTCCGGTCGAGCCGGCCTATT